ATGGAGTGTGGCAAAATGGAAGACTGTTCTGTGGTCAGATGAGTCACAATTTGAAGTTCTTTATAGAACACTGGGACGCCATGTCATCCAGACCAGAGAGGACAAGGATAGCCCAAGTTGTTATCAACGCTCCGTTCAGAAGCCTGCATCACTGATGGTATGGGGTTGCATGAGCGCTTGTGGCATGGGCAGCTTGCATGTCTGGAAAGGCACCATTAATGCAGAGAACTATGTTCAGGTTCTAGAACAACATATGCTCCCATCTTGACGTCATCTCTTTCAGGGAAGACCCTGCATTTTTCAACACGATAATGCCAGACCACATTCTGCAGCAATCACAACATCATGGCTACGTAGGAGAAGGATCCGGGTACTGAAATGGCCAGCCTGCAGTCCAGATCTTTCACCTATAGAGAATATTTGGCACATCATAAAGAGGAAGGTGCGACAAAGAAGGCCCAAGACGATTGAACAGTTAGAGGCCTGTATTAGACATGAATGGGAGAGCATTCCTATTTCTAAACTTGAGAAACTGGTCTCCTCTGTCCCCAGACGTCTGTTGAGTGTTGTAAGAAGAAGGGGGGATGCCACACAGTGGTAAAAATGGACTTGTCCCAACTTTTATGGGATTTGTTGAAGCCATGAAATTTGGAAACAACAGATTTTTCCCTTCAAATGATACATTCTCTCAGTTTAAACTTTTGATCTGTTATTTGTGTTCTATTCTGAATAAAATATTAGATGTTGGCACCTCCACATCATTGCATTCAGTTTTTATTCACAATTTGTTTAGTGTCCCAACTTTTTTGGAATCCGGTTTGTACTAATGGACATCTGCAGCAGACAGATACAAAGTTGTTTTCTTGGTTATAATAAAATAAAACATTTCAAAACATCCATCCAGCTCAGGAAGACACTTGAGAAGGTAGGCGTACCATTAGAAAATGTGCAATCAGAGTGTGGATGAGCATGAGCATGCAGAACTGGAAGAATATTATTTGGACAGATTGAGCCAAGTTGAACCTGGAACAGAATCAAGAGAATGAAGAACAAAAAGGCTTACACTTCAGAACATACAGAACATCAACATGCTAGCAGGGGTGTGCTCAGGAGGTAAACATTAAGCAACAAAATGTATTCACATGCTTCAATTCTGCTCAGAATCAGTGAACTGGTGCAAAACTGAGAGGATGGCCCTTTGCTGTGAAGATGGACTTTTACCCAAAACATTGTGACAAGAAATCCCCCAAGTTCATGAAAACCTGAAAATAGAAAATCACAAGGATTCTTGTGCAGATTTTACTTTTTGCTTCTCTTTTGAAGTCCTCAGCCGAAAAAGTCGCTACTGAAAGAAGTTGATGTAAAACCCTCAAAAGCACTTCAGGTTGTTGTTCTGGACTTGTTGGGGAAAACATCAGACTTCCACCTGCTCAAACTTCCTTCTCAAAGCATTGTTTAAACAGAGAAAAGCTAATCTTGTATAGTACTACTCTTTTCATATATATACAAACCAGATTCCAAAAAAGATGGGACACAAAACAAATTGTGAATAAAAACTGAATGCAATGATGTGGAGATGGCAAATGTCAATATTTTATTCGTAATATAACATAGATGACAGATCAAAAGTTTAATCTGAGTAAATGTAACATTTTAAAGGAAAAATATGTTGATTCAAAATTTCACAGTGTCAACAAATCCCCCAAAAGTTGGGACAAGTAGCAATAAGTGGCTGGAAAAAGGAAATTGAGCATATAACGAACAGCTGGAAGACCAATTAACACTAATTAGGTCAATTGACAACATGATTGGGTATAAAAAGAGCTTCTCAGAGTGTCATTGTCTCTCAGAAGCCGAGATGGTAAGAGGATCACCAATTCCACCATTGTTGTGCAGAAAGATAGTGCAGCAATACCAAAATGGTGTTACCCAGCGTAAAATAGCAAAGACTTTTAAGTTATCATCATCAACCGTGCATAACATTATCAAAAGATTCAGAGAATCTGGAACAATCGCTGTGCATAAGGATCAAGGCCGTAAAACTTTACTGGATTCTCGTGATCTCCGGGCCCTTAAACGTCACTGCACCTCAAACAGGAATGCCACTGTCAAGGAAATAACAGAATGGGCTCAGGAATACTTCCAGAAAGCACTGTCAGTGAACACAATCCACTGTGCCATCCGCCGTTGCCAGCTGAAACTCTACAGTGCGAAGCCATTTCTAAACAAGCTCCACAAGCTCAGACGTTTGCACTGGGCCAGGGGTCATTTAAAATGGAGTGTGGCAAAATGGAAGACTGTTCTGTGGTCAGATGAGTCACGATTTGAAGTTCTTTATGGAACAATGGGACGCCATGTCATCCGGACCAGAGAGGACAAGGATAGCCCAAGTTGTTATCAACGCTCCGTTCAGAAGCCTGCATCACTGATGGTATGGGGTTGCATGAGCGCTTGTGGCATGGGCAGCTTGCATGTCTGGAAAGGCAACATTAATGCAGAGAACTATGTTCAGGTTCTAGAACAACATATGCTCCCATCTAGACGTCATCTCTTTCAGGGAAGACCCTGCATTTTTCAACACGATAATGCCAGCCCACATTCTGCAGCAATCACAACATCATGGCTACGTAGGAGAAGGATCCGGGTACTGAAATGGCCAGCCTGCAGTCCAGATCTTTCACCTATAGAGAACATTTGGCGCTTCATAAAGAGGAAGGTGCGACAAAGAAGGCCCAAGACGATTGAACAGTTAGAGGACTGTATTAGACATGAATGGGAGAGCATTCCTATTTCTAAACTTGAGAAACTGGTCTCCACTGTCCCCAGACGTCTGTTGAGTGTTGTAAGAAGAAGGGGGGATGCCACACAGTGGTAAAAATGGACTTGTCCCAACTTTTTTGGGATTTGTTGAAGCCATGAAATTTGGAAACAACAGATTTTTCCCTTAAAATGAAACATTCTCTCAGTTTAAACTTTTGATCTGTGCTTTGTGTTCTATTCTGAATAAAATATTAGATGTTGGCACCTCCACATCATTGCATTCTGTTTTTATTCACAATTTGTTTAGTGTCCCAACTTTTTTGGAATGCGGTTTGTACATATGTATATGTATATGTACTGTATATTTATATGTATATGTGTGTGTATGTGTGTTGTATGTCTGCTGCATGTTACAGTCTTGGTCTGAGCGGTGGGAGAATTTATAATGAATTTCCGCAGTGTGTCAGGTTTAACGCTGCTCATTAGCACATCAGTCATTATCTGTGTTTGCACCCATGTTTTTGTGTAACTGCAATTATAACACCTCCAGTCTTGTCTTTTCTTCTTGGTTTGAATTCCCCTTTGCAGATTTTTCAGGACGAAAGAAACCAAAGCAAAGAAGGAGATCACAGAGCGACCAAAAGCAAAGACAGGGAGCGAAGCAGAGACGGGGAGCTCCCTTTAACTGCGAGCCAGACAGCTGCACGAGACAGAGCCATCCAACTGAAGAGGAGAGAGATAGATGAGGTGGGGGAGTGTAATTATCCACACACATGTCTTGGGTGAAGGAATGGTTATAAACAGAGGAATAGAAGATAAGAAAGCTGGGATTAGAGGAAGAGTGACAGGGCGAAGATCTTCGTAAGCACTGAGAGACATAAAACAAGGAAGAAAGGATTTGTTTTCTGTAGTCTAAACATCAGGTTTGAAGTGCTGAGGCAACTCAAGTGTCATTATTGGCTTTATTTTGCCACGCCTGACACACAAGGCCTTATTCACTGTTTAACAATATTAATGGGGTCCGTATCTTCTGTATCTTTAGCCTCTCCTGCATGACAGGAGCCTCTAACACGTGCTTTAATGATGCCTTCAATGTGACCAACATCACATCAGGCTGTGCTCATCAGCCTTGTGTTTGTGTGAAAGACTGCACTTGCCTTTCCACCCACTTGATGGAGAAGATGCTTTTGCTTCTTGCTTTTCTCATATCTCCATGGTTGCAGGAATATAAAAGCACTGCAAGATAAAGGAGTGGCAAATGGTTGCTGATGCAAAAATGTCTACCAAAGTCACTGCACCTGATAACACTAGTGAACAGTCTGCACAGGAGACTTTCAAGAATCTAGAAGTTGCTATTTCATTTAGTTAAATTGCTTAACGAGATTTCTTACCTATATCTTTTTATGTTTTTTTTACTCAAGTACGCCCACCTTCTGTTACACTTTGTCCTCATTCTGGATTATGTTTGTCTTTCAGGTTTACTACCAGGAATGTGAAATGTTCGGCTTTGTAGCAAAGATGCTGATAGCAAAGGATCCATCCCTGGAGCGTCCCATCCAGTCCTCGCTGCAGGAGAACCTCCGGGACATTGGCAAGCGCTGCATTGAGGCCATGGAGAAATTCATCCAGGATTATGACTCCAGAGAACTGTTGCACTAATTGTTTGAAAACTTTCTGATGATTGTAAAAATGTAAGCTGCTTTTCTTACTTGTGATATTTTTATGTTCACTGCCTGACGACACTGGACTCAATGCACTTCTCAGTCTCTTGCTGCCCGCCCAGTGACACTGATCCACCAAGAAATCGAAGATTTGAGAATGCCATAATGTTGAAAGACATAGACTGGTCATATTGGCTTTGTTTATGTCTAGCTTAATTTATTTGTAATTGTTGTACTTTTTTAACAACAAAAGAGGCATTATCCCAAATATTGTCAGAAACTGATTCTTGAATAAAATCACGTTACGGCAAGAAATCAGTTCTTGGGTCAGTGGGTGTGCTGGTTATGTGTTATAAGTGCTTTTTAAATGAGCAAGCTGATCTCTGTTGTGGTTGACTTGTCCATTGCTTAGAAAAATCATAGATGAACTCAAGTTCAGATCTGTGATATACTTTAAATAACCTGTTGGGTGAAGGATATGAAAATGGATATTATAAATAGTTGACTGGATCACAACATCCGGCAAGTAACCTGTTAACACTGACAAGCTGCTTTTAGCTAGTAAATTAGTGGGGTTGTTTGCCTCTGCTTCTACTGTAGGTTTGTTTTGCAGACATGCTAACTCTTGTAGCTTGTAAACATTAGCTCCAAAACAACTTTCCTTCAGTCCCAGACCTTTCTTGCAAAAGAGACTTTGATCTCATTGGAATTTGCCTGGTTAAATAAAGGTTAATAAATAACTGGGCAGCACGTGGTGCAGCTGGAAGAGCTGCTGCCTCTCAGAGAGAAGGTTGCTGGATTAAATCCCAGCCAGCGGCCTGTCTGGGTGGAGTTTGCATGTTCTCTCGTGCATGCGTGGGTTTTTCTCCAGGTCCTCCAGTTTCCTCCCACAGACCAAAAACATGCATGTTAGCCTGATTGGTATCTCTTTGTCTCTAGGTGTGAGTGAGAGAGTGAATGGTTGTTTGTCTCTATGTGTCCCTGTGATGGACTGGAGACCTGTCCCGGGTGTCCCCCGCCTCACACAGTGACCCGAAAGGAAAGAAGCTGGTAAAGATGATGTAATGAATACATAACTTCAGCTTTAAGGAAAGTTTGGAGATACATCTTTAGAAGCCAAGCTAAGACCAGTTTGCGTTTTTACCTTATATAATTTTTGGCACCTGTGAGCAGCTTTTTCCTTTTCTGAAATTAATTTTCCACTTTATTTGTGATGAATGGTGTAACAACCAACTTATTGCAAGAGACTTTCTGCTTTCAGGCTCATAGTAATAAGCTTTGAAATACCAAAAATTCACATTTGGTTCAAAGTTTTTTTGAAATTCTTATTTTATCAGGTTATTATGTCTGCTCTGATCCAAACCATGCAGAGTAATGTCAATTTTTGTAATTTCTTTTAGATTAAATCTCAAAACCTTGTTAATGAAAGACATATAGCTTCAATCATGGTCCAGAACTCAACAAATTTTAAACGATAGTCTCCATGTTGAAGTACACTTTATTTTCCGTATAAGACGACAACAATAAATTAACATGCAAGCCTCCCCATCTCTATAATGTTATACAAATAATGGTTATTTTGTTACAAAATATATAAATATTTAAGACCATATGTACATGACATTTACAGGACTACATCCATAGTTAACGTTTATTTCTATATATACATCTAACAGGTATTTGAATGTAATTATATAATTATTATTTGTATTATTATTGTATTATATTATAGTTAGAATAATAATAATTTTAATATTCCTAATATTCTATAGTTGATTCTAAAAAAAAAAAAAAAAAAAAAAAGAAGAAAAACAAAAAAACAGCATGTTGCAGAAAAATAAAGTTGGACCATACCTGACATTACTGTGCCTGAATGGGCAAGGAGCAGAAGCTGCCTGGCTCTCTGTCCTTGGTAAAGCATGGAGAGCTGGCTATGCAGATCACAAAGTTCAACAGAATGTTTTGTACAAGGTGATGATTGGGCTAGCAAACCAACACTATACTCCAGCAGCATTTGGATTCCAGGAAGGTCAACAATGACAGACTGGAATCTAAGACATAACTGTCACAATCCTCACAGTTTCTCATTTGTCCATGTAGAATAAGTTGGTTGCTCTGGGGTTGTTTTCTTAGTTGAATTGGCTGCAGTTTTATCCATTGTACTTTTGGTTTCTGTCTGAAGAAAGTGGTCCATTTCTCTGTGACATGAACACACTCACAGACAGACACGCACATACATTGTGTTTTTTTTTTTTACCTTGACCACAGTATAGAGTTTAGCAGTCAAATTCGTAGTCCAATTATTGGTACAATCATAAGAGTCGATCTCTATCACTGTAAACATTTGTTGTGTAAGCTAGCTGAGCTTCCTCTTATGATTAGATCATACTGTGTAGGTGTACACAAACACTACCCTGTGTAGAGTTGTATAAGCTCACAAGCTCAAAAATGGGACAGCTTTCTTTTCAACCCCTCCACACACACACACACACAGGAACACACAAGCTCTCTAATCACTCACTCTCACCTTCCCACTCTTTCTATTCCTTCTTCCTAACACTTGCTGTCGTCTTACCTTTCTCTCTCACTCTCCTCATCCATCCTTATATTCTTGCTCTAAATCTAGGAAATTATACAGTTTTTGCTCTTCCTCCTCTGGCGGGCGTGCAGCTGGCCATGAATTGGTCCATGCAGAGGTCCATGATGGGCGCCCATCCCAGATGGGCTGTAACGATGGCGCAGATCGTCATTGTTGATGTAGCACAGCTGCACGGGCCGAGGGATTGGGTCGCTTAGGAAGTACTGCTCATCCGGCTCAGATTCAGTGGAAGAGGAGCAGCTGGAACACCACGGATCAGGACCTTCCATGTATCCATCACCCCAGCAAGGCCCACCCAGTCCTGCAGGTTGCCAGCCAGCATTCTGCAAGGTGAGATCAGAAGTGGTGCGTGGGCAAGGCCGGTGGGACTGCTGTCTGTACCCTCCTGGCTCCAGGCCATACAACTCTCGAGCTGCTTGACCAGAGGGGAAGCGATCATAATCCTCTTGTACGCGGCGGTAGGGAAGCTCAACCATTTGAGTGGGACGGTCTGCCACCAGGTGTAAGGCGTTGTCAGACCGAGAACGCCGAGAGCGTTTGTGATGACGACTACTGCGGTGTTGACCACTACCATTGGTTCCACGGTGGTGTTTGCGGCGCCTCGGTTGTGGCTGCTGTTGTTGGGAGACTGATTCCTGAGCATTTATGCGTCTACGAGGCATTCGGTCACTCATGGGAGCCATTCGCAGGTTTCCGCTGCTTCCCATCACTCCAGCTCGACCTTTGCCATCGAAGCCTCGATCTTGTGGGCCATCCCAGTATTGCAGTGGGTACCCAACTCTCAGCGGAGCATACATGTTGTTGTTGTAAGGGCGAGAGGAGGACAGAGACTCCGTGCTGTGGAATTGAACTGACGAGCTGAGCGTGCCCATGTTGCTCTTTTCAGACACAATCACACCAGAGTCTTTGCTCAGGTCAGGCATGGAGAACCTTGACAGATGCTCCTGACGCTTACTGACCCCATCCAGAGAGTTACCTGTTAAAGGAATAAATCAAACATCACATTTGTCCACTTTTTCATATTGAATGATATTACATTGGGTTTCTCATTACCTGTAGCATTGGACATTGTGAGAGAGTCCATGGATCCATGAGGGGTCTGTTCTAGAGGAGTGAGCGGTTCATTAAAGCTCATGGCAGTGATGTGGTTCCTCCTTGTCAGTGGGGGTCGGCCGTCTCTCTGGAATCCATGCAGACTGATGCTCCTCTTATCGGAGAAGCCTTGGTTTTGGTTGGACATCTCATTGAAGCTCATCTGTGTATGAAGCTTGTTAGGTCTGAACTCATCTTGGCTGTGGTGCATCCAGTTTTCATTGAAGGAGTGGCCCCTCAGGGCAGCCATAGGGGTCCTCTTGGCATTACTTTGCTCCTTTCCCCAAGAATCCGGCCTCTTCCCTGGGTTGGCAGTACTTTGGGCAGGTGGATGAGCGTTTGTGTTGGGATTGTATCCCTGCCTGGCATTACACTGGCCCATCAGATGTATAGGGGTAGGGGAGGGTGAGGGATCCCGCTGGGGCCCCTCATAAGAAGCAGAGATGTAGGGGTCGTCCCTGCTCATCCACACTTGGTTAAGGCTTGGGGCTCGGCTCGGAGTGCGGCTAGGTGTGCGGTTTGGTGTCCTGCTCGGAGTCTGGCTCGATGAAAGGCTTAATCTGTCCATCTGAACAGAGAGGGGATCAGTTTCAGCTGAAAGACGGTCAGGCATGGGAGGAGGAGCTGACTGACGGGGCTCGCTGCTCCGGCGATCCTGCTCTGCATTCTTGCGCTCTTTCTTTCCAATCTTGGTGCTGTGGCGGGATTCACGAGAACGAGCACTTTGGAAAGCTGAGTCTGAGGAATCAGACTCTTCTGGATCCTGTTTATTTGAAATCAAACAAATCTGTATCATTATCAAAATCAAAATGTTACAGTCTACTAGACACCTAAACATATTTTTGATAAAACTCAAAGTGTTTTTGTTTGTTTACCTGTCCAGCACTGCAGGAACGTGAACAAAAGATCTGCCCTTGCTTAGGAAGGAAAGGGCGGCCCAGCAGAGATCTCTTGCAACGCGCACAGCAAAAACATTCTTCAGTTGCGTGCCAGTGCTGCCCATCATACGTCATCTGGCCTTGGTCAATGCCTTTAAGAAAGGGAATTTATTTTTACATAGGTAAGAAGAAATAAATCTCAATAAAATATTTTCTGTGAACTGTGTCAGAATCATATGATGCAGCTTTAGGGCCATGATAAGAAAAAAATTACATTATGAATGAAAAAGCAGTCTTACAACTGCTGTAAAATGATGAATGATAAACTGAAGCTGTATGGCATGGCTGCATTGTTGGATGTAGTTGTGACATTATGCGGATGGAAGCATATTTCACAAACAGTGACACAAAAGTGATCGCGGACTACTTCATAAACACAGTGACTCGCACTGGAGGCTGTCCACAGCATAGACATATATACACAGATGCCTCGTTGAGCGGGTTGACCCTCTGCAGCAGTACGTTGGAGCAGCCGCCATTTTGAATGTGGCACATCTGCCGGTCAACAAGGAAAACAAAGAAATGGACTGAACTTCACAAAGCACTGTTTAACAAAGTGTTTTAAGTTAATGCCTGTCATTCACACACTCATATATATGGAAAATTAACAGACACCAAAGACAACATTTGTTACTTTTAATGTGATTATTAAAAATGTTTACTCCTTGAATATTTAGGTTATAGTAAGCACTAAACCAACATATGTATTATTTTGAGTGTTTACAACTACTAACGCGTGTAACAATATTATTGTGGTGGTAAATTTAGAAATATTCATATTTAACATTTAATCTGTGTTTATAATAACCAGATCCTGAAATGTGATGTGTGGATTAAAGAGTACAAATGTTCACATTTAACTGATTTTGATGAATCACATCGATGAACATATAAACACCAATAAATCTTAACAAGGGGTGTGGAGTACTGTATGTTTGTATGTATGTATGTATGTATGTATGTATGTATGTATGTATACTGTATATATATATATATATATATATATATATATTCTATCTATTGCTTCACTTTTGCCACATTCAAAATGGCGGCGACATGGACAACGATTCAGCACTCAATAAGATTCAGCACTCAATAAGACGTCTACGTATATACAGTATGTCTATGGTTCACAGCAGGTGCGAGGCGACCCAGGACGTATTTCGAGTTTATTCTCGTAATTGTATGGCTTTTTTTCTCGTAATGTAATGTTTTTTTTTTCTTAGCGTGGCTCTAAAGCTCTGTGGTAGAATCCACCATTTGGTTTTATCAAACAGTCAATACTGAATCTGGTTTTTGAAACACTTTTTTTTTAAATAAAACATTTGTGGTTCTGTGTTCATTTCTTTTAGGTTAGCACAAATACATTTCACAAGTCCTGTCCTCCAGCTCGAGGAAGTAATCATCTTTCACTGCTCCCTTTACAGTTCGGAGGCACCCTCTGTAACCAACACTTTCATTGTTACTGGAGCTCTGGATGATAATAACTATCCACATCTCGCTGCACTGGGATCCGCCTCTCTGCAGCTGTGGCTCACCAAGGCTCGAAGCCAACACCACATATAGATCACAGAGCTGTTTCAGGTTTTATATGATGAGTGAAAGAAAAAAAAATGTGTTTAGCACCGTAAACAACAATACGAAGCTGTAGAAATTAGGTGTTGTACCTATGTGCTCTCCACATGCATCGCAGTATTCTGCATAAAGAGACTCAAAGCAGTTGCAGCAGTGAGGCCGTCCGTCCTTCATGATGTAACGCTGTCCACCGAGGGTGGTCTCACATTCATAGCAGCAGAAGTGTTTCATGTGCCAGTGCCTTCCTTCTGCTTCGGTACATTCATCAGCAAAGATTAACTGTGGGGTTCAGAGAATACAGGCATCAGGAAGCACAATGAGCACTGTACATCTAGACATTTAAAAGACAAACATTTGGAGGAGTTTTCAACAAACTGCATATAATTATTTGCTACAGTAATTCTTGGCTTCCCTTTGACAGTTCACCCTATGGCCCAAGGCAATATTTACTGCAACCTCTTCTCCCATGTTGCAGAGGCTGCTGAGTTATTTTCCCTCGCTCAGTCTGTTCTAATTCTGTCAATTATTTATAATTATCGAAGGCTCGAAGAAGTCAAACTGCCCAAACTAGAAAATGAGGCACTCAGCTCCCACAATTAACACTTCTAACATTGAACAACAGCTGAAAAACAGGCAAGTTTCAGCTTGAGACTTTCTGCAAAAGTGACAAGACTTTTGTAAGTGTGAGCGATAAGAAAGGGGAACCATTTAACAATCAGCTGATTTATTTAATTTATTCACATAAAGTTAAACGTGGTTATAAAAGGTAAGAAACAGGACGGCACCTACAGTGTGTTACTAGCTTTAGCTGCTTGTTATAACCTAATTAACAGCCAACATGTCTGCTCATAGCCGCCCTCAAGTGTTCAGGAATGCTACGTATCTTTAATGTGCAACTTTTTGCAACAATTCTTTGATTTTTTTACGTTCGTTTAACTAAGCAAGAACATTAGGAGGTAAAAAATATATAAATTTGTTTTTGTTGTTTACAACACAGAACAGCTGAATAAACATCATAAGTAAGATTTTTTTTCTATGTTACATAGTTATATATTTGTGAGTGCTGGAAGTTATTTGGCGATTTCTTCTATCCAATGGAGTGGGAAGTTGGGGTGTGGAGGGTGCTGTAGCACCCATCATGAACGCATGTCCAAATGCAACTTTAAAGGATCATTGAAAATAATAATAATTATTATTATTATTAGTGTTTTTGTACTGTACATGTTCTAAACTAGCACTACTGAATTTCAATAACCTAAAAAATAGCAGCTTATTATTTCAGTTTTATAGATATTGTCTCTCTAAATTATAGAGCACAATTAAATATACACATAAAGGTCAGCACGGTGGAGCAGTTGGCAGAGCTGCAGCCTCTCAGCGAGCAGGTTGCCAGTTCAAATCCCAGTCTGGGGGCATTTCTGGGTGGAGTCTGTATGTTCTGTCCGTGCATGTGTGGGTTTTCTCCAGGTACTCCAGTTTCCTCCCACAGACCAATGCATGTTAGACTGATTGGTAACTCTAAACTGTCTCTATGTGTCCCTGTGATGGACTGGAGACCTGTCCAGGGTGTCCCCCGCCTCTCGTACAAACTGGTGTTAGACCAATCCAAGTTGTCAATCTGTGAAGCGTTCAACCGTTTCGAACCCTGAAAATCTCCCGGGCCCAGACAAGCGTACCTCATCACAGGCACAGCAGCGGGGCTTCAGCCTCTCGGAGTGGTGCCGGCCGCAGAGGATCTTTCCGTCCTGGTGGAAGTATATAAGATCCACCAGCAGTTCCTCACATGTGCAGCAGACAAAGCAAGGAGGATGCCAGCACTTTCCAGGCCCTGCCCTGGCAGCAAAAACTACGATGTCGCCTCCATTTATCTGGCCACCACACTGTAGGTGAGCAAAGACAGGAAAGGACAAAGTGAGCAGATGACAAAGGAAGGAAAAGTAGAAATGAGATAATTACAAGCTGAAAGAAAATGAACAGGAAGGTGCAAAAAAAAGTTTTCATAGAGTCCTTCAAGCTGCTTTGACCAATTTTTAAAATATATTTTCAGTACAAAGTAGGTGAAGAGGTGGAGAGAGGCAACATTTTGTCGTGTTTACCTTTTCACAGCTCATTCCGCTGATGGTGAGGGGGAAAGGACGGACATTACCCCTCCCTAGGTTGTCCTTTTTCCTCTGGTTGCTGAAGATCTTCAGCTCTCGTTTCTCCTCCTCGTCCAGGGCGTTACAGTAACGTACCTGAAACATTATGGTCATCATCAGGGGGCGAAAAACATGTGGAACGCTTTCAGGAAATCACAGTTTTCACATGCGAATGAGAAGTTTGTGCAGTTTTACCTCATTGTCATGTGGTGGCAACTGGTGAAGAAGTTGCTTGATGCGATATTTTTCTCCAGGGCTGTTAATGTAGGGGACTTTCTCCTCTGGCATGGAATTATAATACTGATGCACCTGGAACACAAAACAGATACACTTCACTTCACGTGTAGGGGCAGGGCATCTCGTGGTGTCTCTGAGCAGGACACCCAATCCCGAATTGCTCCCCGGGCGCCTACATAGTTGCCCACTGCTCTACCTGGTATATCAGGTGCAGTGGGTTAAATGCAGAGAACCAGAAATGCTACAAATTGCTGACTGATCTATGCAGACGTACAACCATGACACAATAGTATTTTCACCTCAGTAGTTGGTTAAACTTGAAGTTACATATTTAAATAGTAACCAAGCATGAAGCAACGTTAATGTTTATTTTGAGGTTTCACTTGAGAGTTGATGAGGGCAAATCTAAAGTTTATTTCCATTTTAGTTCTGTGCTTTATATTTTCTCAACTTGAGTGACGTTTCCTAATACAGAACAATCTTCCAGTACACGTGTGGATAACCTTGATGTTATTTTCTGAAGGAGGATTTAGTGAAAACATTTTGAACTAACACTATCTTACCTGTCGTAGATGGCTCTGTGGACAAGCTCAAATTTGAGAAATGGAATTGAATTCTGCCTAGATCAGGGGTCTGCAACATTTACGGTCCAAAGAGCCATTTATGCCCCTTCCTTCACTAAATTAAAATGTCCGGAGCCACAAAACCGGCTCCAGCTGTTATTATCAACTGGTGGCCCGCGGACCACTTTAAGTTTGTTGGAGGAAGCTTTTCAGGCCAGTAGAAGCGGCATAATAAAATTAAAAATATCTAATGATTTTTAACACATTGATATTTTTACATTTTAAGACAAAACAAAAAGACCGGCTTATTGTAAAGAATGATTACTTTTTAAATCTAGTTTTTACCAATTAAAAAAAAGAAATTAAGAACATGACTTATGCAGGTCTAGTGATTTTTTTTTTAACTGTGGAAAAATTAAGCATCCTACTTTAAAGGAATAAAGCATAAAGTTAAAGTGAGTACGTTTTACTCCTTGTATTAGTACTAGTATTCACTGATTTGCAAAATAAATGACATGAAACTGTTAAAACTAGCAGTGGTTTGTTGGTTTTGGTCAAGAGCCGCTGCAGAGGAACCAAAACCTAGTTGGATGAGTTAACAACTAGAAGTTTATTTTATATTGCTGTCACAATTATTAAGGTTGTTATTGTCACTAGAATTTGCACATAGCAGCAGCAACTAGCTGTATCACTTCCAGTGCCACCACTGGTACTTCTTTCTGACAGGGTTTTCATAATATTTCTGCTAGAATAACCTTTTAATAAGAAACTGACAACAATATAAAGGTTTACAAACAGTAGTATTGATGTGAACTGGTGTAAATGTGTCCAGTATTACAGGGCAGCAGGAATCTGTTTGACAAGCTCTGATGAATCCTTAACTTATCAGTTTGGTCAGAAATTATGTTGTTTTTTTCTCCTAAATATAATTGAACAAAGAGCTATTTGCATCAAGTCAGACATTAATTGTGCAGAACCTTTCCACATAACCTCCTTACAAAAGGAGAACTATGAATTTCAGTATGAATGAGAAGCAACACAATAAAGCTGCAAGACAAAACTGTGAAGTGACCATTCTGTAAAGGTTCAGTGCTCCAAGCCACATGTGGAAAACAACTAATTATGTAGTCCACTGTAAAATAAATGAAAAGCCTAGATAAAAAAAAAACCCACCTAATTTACCTAAATTTAGTTGCGTTTTGGTGAATCGTTACTTTATATGTTGTCTGTCTAAAACAGGTCTCTTGTAAATGAGTCCTCGTGACTCAGTGAGACTAACCTGGATGAATAAAGGTTGAATGAATGGGGAAAAAAAAGGTATTTATGAAGGAGTGCACGTCGCCTGTCGCCTTTCATGTCAGCATCTTAGACTAAGGCTGTCGATACATTCAGTACACTGCATCAGAAATGTAAAGCTGCAACGTTGTTATTATTTTACATTACACGAGGTTTAATTATGTTTACATATTCAACTCAATTCAATTCAATTCAAAAACACTTTGTTAATCCCAGAGGTAAATTAAGTGTTGTCATAGCTCATCGTCCTGGTTTCATTCAAGAGTTGTTATAGATGCTGATAGCTGTGGACAGGAAGGATCTCCTGCAGTGAATCTGAAGAATCTGGCCACAGATACTGATCCGTCCATCTGGATGCAGCTTGCTGTCAGATCCAGTGGGCCTCTTGGTCCTCCAGGGCAGCAGGACCTCTTGGTCCTCCTGGGCAGCAGGACTGCCTGAATGCCGAGCAGAACTCCTCCCTGAGCAATGGTCACTCCTCCCAGCAGTCTGCTGAGCTCCTCGTCGCTACGGAAAGACAGCTGAAGGTGCTGGAGGATGACCCAGTTCCAGGATCTCGGCAGTCAAGCACTCGAGCACCGCTGCCAGGTTGATGGGAATTCATCCACGGCACCTCCTTTTCAGGGATTTGGGGCTGCAGTGGCAGTATTTGAGCTTTTGAGACGTTAATCAGCTGCTCCTGGTGGTTAAAAAGCACCTTGTTGCCATGGTTACGCATCATAACAAATGCCCGTAAGTAAAAAAAGTTTCTGTAAAAATCCTTCCAGCTGCACAGCATCCGATAATCATCCCAAAAAAAAGTGATTGACATTCAGAAAAAAGAGGAATTTACGTTTGATTCACTCTTATTTTATTAATTCATGCAACAAACTTATTCGAATGAATCATCAATGACTTTTAAATTCATTTCATGCTCTTCATGCCAGTAGGACTTGTTTACGCGCTGCCCTCCGTCATCGTTGCCATATATATATATATATGTATGGTCAACTAGCCACACCCTCACAGCAATTACATTTCCCGACGCAGCAGAGCCCGGTCTCCTCAACATTAACTTCTCCTTGTATTTACATGTTAACTGGGGAAATACAAAAAACCGTGATTGGTGTATATGAGGGGGAAATATTCAAAGCAATCACGTTGCTTGTCTGACTTTCAGCAAACTAATCTCTGTAGCAAAAAAAAAGTCCATGTTGAGTCAAGTTTTTCCAATTCAGTTTACATAATCAGTCGCGTGGAAAGTGAGAAGAAAGAAAAGGCCTCTCCGCCCCTCCATTTCACTTGTTTCACTCCGTTCAGGTGCAGAGTGGTTTTGCTTGCGTCTTCAAATGAGCTCTAAATAAGGAACAAGATTTAAAAGACAAGTACAAGCATTGCAACGAATATTTACCGTCAACCTGCGTACATAGGAAATGCTGAGTGCAGCTCTTGCACATGCTGCTCTCGCTTTTATAATAAAAAATTATTTATTCATGAAATTATTTCCATTTGCAAAACAATTGCTATGGAAATTCAATTCAGTTCATTTCTATAGCACCAAATCACAGCAAAGTTGTCTCAGGGCACTTTACAGAAACATTCACATACATAGAAAAGCCAGTTAGTAAAGTTGTCTATCTAAGGAAGGATGGCAGAAAATACTTTTGATCTAATTTGTTCTATGAACTCCAGATGAGTCCAAAGCGCTCACGTTCTCAAGGAACACCAGTAAATATTTATGTGGTCCACAAAAGAACAGATAGGAAAAACATTTTTTCTAAGTTAGTAATTAAATCCTCATTGTTTCCTGAACTTCCTGCTTAAGATACCATATTATTTTACATTATTATTGTTTAATGTATATCTTAGATCCTTGTATCTGTTTCTTTTCATACTTTATATTCTTTTTTTGTTGTTGTTGCTATTTTTGGGTGTAACTGGGACCTTGGGTATACAATTTTGTTCCACCTCATGTACCACATTTGATGAGAATGACAATAAAAACCTTGAACATAATGGTTAAATGAATTGGATGCACAGTTATTGTCTTTATTTATTTATTTATTTTCTTCTTCTTTCAGCTGCTCCTTCTTCAGGAGTCACCACAGTGAACTAAGTCCCACGAAAACTTGGCAATTGTTTTTACACTGGATGTTCTTCCTGATGCAACCACAGACACCGAGCTGCCACAGCATCTGTGTGGAGCAGAGAGCTGGCATGTAGGGCACCCAGGGGAGCAGATGGTGGGGGTTAAGAACTTTGCTCAAGGGCCCAGAGTGGAGCAAATGAGAGTGGAGGCAGGTGTGGGTGTTTCACCTAACCCACCCACATTTTGATGTTGTCGGTACCAGGAATTGAACCAGCAATCTTCCGATCACATACCCACCTTCTCTAACCTCTACTCCACCACTCCCAGTTATTGTCTTCATATGTTGGAGAAAATAGTAGCAAAGATGGAGGAAATGTCTAATGGTGTTTTATATATACAACAGTTCCTCGTTTATCACGAGGGATCCACCCTGAATCTCCACGATAAGTGAAAAACTGCAAAGTAGAAATAGTAGAATAACTAGTAAGTAGTTATTTATTTTAGTATACATATATA